CCTTGTCGCCCTGGTTTTGGATCTCCTCCTCAAGCTTCTCAGATTCGAGAATGGCGGCCTCGAGCTCTTTGGAGGCCTTGGCGTGATCCTTCTCCAGCTTTACCTTGAGTTTCTCAGCCTTTACCTTCTTGACCTCAGCGTTGGAGATCTCCTCGTTCTGACCAGCGATCTCCTCCTTGAGGGAGTCTACTCTCGCCCTCTGGGCTCTGAGTTTTTCACCGCCAACTTGCATGATCTTGTCCTGCAAAACCTTGATTTCTTCTTCGACGCTGGATGTTTCCTCATGGAGCTTCTCAACTTCTTTGCTGAGTTTGGCAACCTCCTTCTCCAAAGCGATAATCCGGCTGTCGTCAGACTTCGAAGGTTGGTGCTCCTTAGCCAGCTCTTTGATCCGACGTTGAGCATCTGCAAGGTTCTTGGCAGCACTCTCTACTTCAAGGTTGATCTTCTGCAGCTTGGTCTCGAGCTTGGGGATTTGGTCTTTGACGACTCGAAGGCGCGCCTCAAGTTCGCGCTGGCGTTCTTGGAAGTCATTGAAGGTCTGCTCGAGAGTATCCCGGTCCGCTTCAAGCTTTTTGACTTGGTCCTTGTTGGTGTCAGACACCAGCTTTGAGGACATCAAGCCCTTCTTGACCGTGGTGCCACCGCCAGACATGGTACCGGACTTGTCGATGAGTTCGCCCTTGAGGGTGACTACTCTCCATCGCTTGGCGCCATAGGCAATACGGTTTGCTTGCGCAAGATCAGTTGCCACCAGGGTGTCTTGAAGGGCATGGTAGAAGGCGGGACGAAATCGCTCCTCTTTGGCCTTTACGAGATCAAAAAGGCGAGGCGCGTTCTCAGGGGTATTGATGGGGGAGAAGTCACGGGCTCGGAGCTTGTCCAAGCACATGAAGTTTCCACGACCGAGGTTGGTCTTCCTCAAATACTCGATGCACTGCTGACCCACCTCGACAGTGTCGGTGACGAAATTGTCGAGCTGGCCGCAGGCCGTCGAGATGGCGACATCGTACTTCGCGTCAATAGTTCCGAGGTTGCCAAGACGGCCATGGAACCCATCAATACGACCCGATTCCTTCATCCGCATCAAGGCAGTGAGAACGTTGCCTTGAGTCTGAGTTGCAGAGAGGTTGGATCGGGCTTCGTCAGCCTTCTGCCGCGCATTGGAGAGCTGAGACCGCATCTTTGGCTCTTCCTCTGCAAGCTTCTGGAGTTCTGCCTCAATCTTCTTTGCTTCCTTTTCGAGACTGGCCTTCTCAGCTTGGCAAGCCCTGGTTTCCTCCGCCTTGGCTGACCTGCCCTCTTCAATGGCGGCAATCTTTGCCTCCAGCTCTTCGAGGGCGACAGCACCAGCATTGGCTTTCTCCCGAAGGATGGCCATCTCGCTCTCCGCAACAGCAATGGCGGATTGCTTTTGATTGATTTTTTCGTTCCAGGGCTCGAGAGACTTCTGTTTCGTCGAGATCTGGTCCGAGAACTGCTGCGTCTTGCCCTTCAAGCTTTCTCGGATCTTTGTCAGCTCCGCCTCTTCCTTCTTGACGAGAGTCTCGAGCTCAGCGACCTCCTGGCCACGCGTCTCGATGTCCTCGGCGCACTGCTCAATTGTCTGATCTGCTTCAGCAGCCGAGTTCTCTGCACTGTTAATGGTCTTCTCCAGCTTTTTCCTCTTGTCCGTCAGGAATTTCCGCTTCTCGTCGAACTTGACACGCTCTTGGTCAAACTTGGTCATCTCCTTGATCAATCTCTGTGTCTCCTTCTCCTCGGCGTCGTATTCTTTGCTACCTTTGGAGTAGGCTTTCTCTAGTTGCTTGATGATCTGCTCGCTGCCGTTGTGCTTTTCTAGCTCTTCGTCAAGCTGGGCCTGCATCTGACCAATAGCTTCCTCGGTGACAGCCAAGTTATCGTCGCATTCGCTGATGTACAGCTGATATAGAGCAGCTTGCTTCATCGTAAGCTCATTCTCGTCCCGGATGAAGGCCAGTGCCTTATTCTTCTTGTCCTCAAGGCTATTCTTTTCTTTCTCTACGTGCTGAACGCGGCCACTCTTCTCGAGGCAGACCTCATTCAAGGTCTCGACCTCTGTGGCGGACTCCTCGATCGGAGCCTTATACTTGGATGTGCCGATGATGTCTTCAAGATATTCGAGCAGACCGTCTTCGTGCTCATTGCCGGCCTTTGGCTTCATCTGAGCAATGGACTCTACTTCACCCTGAAGAATCAGGAATCGCTTGTGGTCCAAATCAACGCCCCTATCACGCAGCAGAGTGGTGACGGTTGTGAAGTTCGAGGTTTTGCCGTTGATATAGTATTGGCTAGAGTTGTTCTTGAAGGCTTTTCGCGAGATGACGAGTGCCGAATCCGGGATTACTTGAGGCGCGCCGCCGGGCTGAGAAAATGTTAGAGCCAAACCACTCGAGAAAGCAGTCAAGGTAGCCTACAACATCGATGACCTCTTGGAAGTGCACAGCAACTTCACAGTACTCAAGGTCTGGGTATTGCGCCGAGTTGTGGATCAAGGCAGAGATCTTGCCCTGCCTCATCTTGCTGGCCCGGAAACCGAAGACGAAAAGCAGCGAGTCGATGACGTTCGACTTGCCAGAGCCGTTGGGACCAACTACAGAGGAAAAGGACGCATGGAAAGGCCCCACCTCCTGCCGGCCAGCATAGCTCTTGAAGTTGGTCAGGATAAGATACGTAATGACAATGCGCGGCTTGGGCCCTGTATCTTCGACCATGGGGATTTGCATTGTTCGCGATTTCAGCACAATATCCATGGGTTTCTCGAGGAGGGTGTCCATCGCCTTGATGGGCTTGACGGCAGCCAGAACCGTCTCATCCCCAGCCCGCCGCTGCTCGTTGATACTAGTCGCTGTGATATCGGAAAGCGGCGAGCCCTGTAGGTCTACGGATACGGGCGACACCGAGGGTTTTGGCGTGGGGAGCGGCGGCTGGAGCTCGGGAGTTGCGGCCTTAGATGCATGGGGCGCAACGCTCCTTCGCCCCCTCGGGGCCGGCTTTTTCGCTACTTCAAGTGGCTGGTCATCCGCAGGGCCAGCAGTCTGATCGGGGTCGAACACCTCGCTGGGCTCGATGCTCGGCGCGGGCGCAATGCTCTTCTTCGGGCGCCCTCGTCGCGGCTTCGGTGTGGAGGGCGCCGGTTCCTCTTGAATGGTTTTCCTTCGGGTGCGTCGCGGACTGGGGGCTGGCGCAGGTGTGAAATCGTCTCCGCTGTCCTCCTCGACCTTCGGCTGAGGCGCATCCGCCATGTCTTCATCTGAAGACTCAACTACCGCTGTGCGCCGGGCGGCAACGCGGCGCGACGGTCGCGACGACATAATTGAAAACCCTCAACAAAATCGACTACAAAAAGCTAAAGTGAAGAAGCACTCGCGCTGGCTATACTTGCGCGTCAAGCTGGTGGATTAGGCGGAGTAGAAATCGGATGCGCTGGGACTCGAAAATGTCAGGCGCGATGCGAGACCCTTGCCCCGCTTGTTGACATTGACAGTTTGTAAACAATCAGCCACAAGCAAGCCTCAAACGCCCGCACGCTGCGCCCCACCGGAGGGTGAAACGGCTGGAGAAACACGGTCTCCCGTGACTTGTTCTCCATCCTCTCCCCGGTACTAGCATTCTTCACCCCCGTTAGCCGCAACATCTAAGGATTTCATGATACAGCAATACCTAATGCATCAAGCCTTGAGCAGCGTCGAGCTTCAGCAGCCACCAGCCACACCCAGACCTCAACCACCATAACAAGTCGCCGAGATGCTCGACCTCACCCAATTCCAAGCCATCTTCCCGACAGACGGCGCTAAGCCATATGACCAAAAAGGCATCAAGGAAATCGAGACTTTCCGCAAGTCCTTCGATGGTACTCTTTTCATAGACCGCGTCCTGCGAACGCTAGGAATTACCGAAGGCAAGCACCCAAGATCCGCCCACCACGGCCAATCCTAACTGACATGACCACCCTACAGCTAAGGCATATCCTCCCAAGGGCGATAACGGCTTGCGCAGCCTCCATCGTCACATCTGCGACAGCAATGGTTCTGCACACCACAAGCTCTCAGTCTTCTACTACCTCCTGCTCGACCACGACTATGTCCGCGGCGCTCGCTCCCAGCTCGCCGGCACCCTAGCCGAAGCTTCTGCCCTCCCAACAAAGTATCAGATTCTCATGAGAGGGCTCTGGCATATGGATCGCAAAGAGTTCAAGGTAAGCAGAACTCAACCGACCCAAGCAGCAAAGCCCTGCTGACAGAAGCCCGAATCCAGTTCGCTCTCGAACACCTAGCCCACCCGTCTCTCCCCTCCGAGTTCGCCGACGACATCATCGTCGCACTCGTCCGCCATGCTTCAGCCAACGACTACAGCCTGCCTCTCGCATACTACCACACCACCCAGCCTGTGTTTAAGACGTCTGAGGCCCTCGAACTACTCTTCGGCGCCCTCGCCCGAACAAGTGTGGCTGAAGCACTCTACTTGTCCCGCGGGTACCCCGAGCACACGCGCCAGCAATTGTTTGAGAAGCTTGTCGCCTCCGTGCTAGATTACCCTGAAGAAGTCGGTCCAAGGGGCAAAGAACTCGCCAGTCTGCCGCTCACAGGACCGGAGGAGAACTGGCTGCAGCAGTACTTGGTCGGAGACGGCAAAAAGTCTAAGAATGCTCGGCTTGTCGGGCAGATGCGACAGATCGTCACAGGCCGAAACATTGCCCCGGCGGCACTCAACGGGCTAGCCAAGGCTGGACGCTGAGGTCCCGGTTCAATAGCCAGACAAACAAACCAAAAAGAAAAAACCCCTCTATGAGAGAGGGGAAGGGGTGTGACAAAAAGCCAAGCACGCCAACCATCTCAGTATTCATCTCTCCCGCCGGGAATTGAACCCGGGTCTCGAGCGAAGTCGAAGATGACAAGCTCACATACTGACCACTATACTACGGAAGATGTATGAGTGTGTCCACCCACGGTAGTTTTTTTGGTCGGCCGTGCCTGATTCTCGGGAACGGGGAATCGAACTCCGGGCTGCTAAGAACTCAAGATGAGAGTTAGCAATGTTAGCCACTACACCATACCCGATTGTTGAAAATCGTGAGCGGAAAGGGTTCTTATGGATGCGACGAAGGGGTGGGGAGTGGAGCAAGAGGTGCGCCTTTTTCTCCGCCACAAGTGGGTTGGCACGGTAGGCGAGCGAGACATGGACAGTTTGAGATGGTACATAGATTTGGATCAAGCGACCAGAGTACCTGTCCGATATGATAGCTGACAGCCGCCGGGTCCATGACATACGTATATATCTTGCACACTTACTGTGTACAGAAAACGATCCACGGCCGCGCGCTGAGAGTGTCAACCGAAGACCGACATGTGCCGACATGTGAATCTCACAAACTCCTGGTCCATCGTTACACAGCCGCACGGTCATAATCATTCAGCAAACCGCCCTGCCCTGAGCCGGCCTACCTACCATGAAACTAATCACCGCCCCTATCCAGTCCCTGCCTGCTCAACCTTTCCCCTCAGCGCATCGACTTCCCTTTGAAGCGCCGTTAGGTCTGCGAGGATGTCAGGTGCGGCTCCAGCCTTTTCAACCAGAGCAGCATCTACGGTCGGCTCTTCGGCCAGTTTCCCTTCCAGGATTTTCACACCCTCCGCACTGCCTTTCCTCGCAGCCAGGCCTGACCCATCTACGCTTCCCTTACTACTCCCTCGCTGCCTGGGTGGAGGCGGGGGAGGAGGCGCTAGCGGGGTTCCCACGCGCCGTGACGTCGCATCCAGTGAAGACACACTTGGTGGTCTCTTAGACCTCGTTGACACACTGCGTGCTGGCGGTGGTGGCGGCGGGAAGAGCTTAGGGTGCACGCCTCCATGGTGTAGAGGAGACGGGATGGTCGTGGTAGCCTCGGTGCCAGACCCGGAAGCGTCGATGCGGGGAGATGGTGTCTGGCTGTTACTGCTATTTATGGCAGTCATGGCAGCTGGCGAAAGCGGGGAAAACTCAGCAACCTCATACGGGCTCTTCTCGCTGCCAGTCGGCTGTATACTTGCAAAGCTGACAGCGGATGGGGATATGAATGCGTTTGAAGGCCGAGAGTTATGGGCTGGCCGACGGGGAGGAGGTGGAGCGGGAGCGGGAGCGTGGATGCTAACACGCAGGCTCGATGAACGCGAACGGGTGGAGTCTTGTGATGAACGCCTTGCCAGCGTGTCAAGCTCCTCGGGGTGGTTCGCAGCCAGGGGAGTAACAAGGACAGAGGTTTTGCTCTCAGACCTCCCGTGCCCGTGTGGGTTTCGCCTTGGAGGAGGCGGTGGCTTCTTGGCCGATTGTGGTGAGTTTGTGGTCGCGGTCGGTGTGTGATGCGATGGCTTTGGCGGTGTTGGCGGCCTCGCAACATGTAGAGGCTCTTCCACAAGCTCCCCCGCTGGCTCAGGCACCTTGCCAGCTGCTTCTCGATCAAATATACTCTCGGCTTCCTCCTCGATGGGATGTCGGTGTGGCGCAGGCGGAAGTGGCTTGTTTACCTCCAACGGGGTGGTTGGCTCCGCTGAGGTCGTAGAGTGTGGTAGTGACGCCGGCCCCTTCGCCGCCCGTGGCGACGCTGACGCCGGCCTATCATTCCCGTCTTGCGGGTCTTTGCCCTTCAGTTCCACCTTGATCAGTTTCCCATGCCGTGAACTTGGGGGCGGGGGCTTCTTTCGGAGCGTGGTTGGTGATTGTGGCTTGGGACGGTTGTTTCCGATCAGGCCGTGCTGGTCATCGTCACCTTCTGGTTCGGAAATTTCGTGCGAGGTACGTGGCGTATCGTGAACGGGAGGGTAGGTAGCGTCGAATATAGATTGACGCGAGATGGATGACGCATCAGTTAAACTTGCAACATCGCCGGTCTGCGTAGCCAGATGGGCGCCTTGCGCGGGTACCGAGGCCGACGTTGGTGGTGTTATTTGTGCGGCCCCTGGTCCACCAGCTTGCCCTGTAAGCAACAGTCGTTTGAAAGCATCCACATCTAACGCGCCACGCGTTCCCAGCGGCGAGTCGACGATCTGTGCCGCCTCTTTTGAACCGGTTTCCAAGTCCTGCAGTGTCCTCTGAAACGGGTTTGGCGGCGCGCGGTGTGGGACCCGTTGTGGAGGGTCATCCTTACTAAGCTCGGAGTTTTCGGCGTCGGTCGAGGTCGTCGGGAGCACAATATTGAAGGGGTTGGATATCTCGCCAGGTTCGTCTTCGCTGCTGCTGCTGCTGTCTTCTGAACCGGGGCTGCGCCGGGAATAGCGCTCTGGGGCGCTTGCTGATTCCGGGGAGGATGGCGGGGGTGATTGGACGCGAACTTTCTTGACGACTTTCGGTTTCTGGAAGCTCGTGGTCGGCGGCGGCTGAGCAGTCCGAGGCATAGCTTGCAGCTGGGCGCGAAATTGATCGCTGGATGGCATCGAAGGGGCGACGTCGGATGGCGAGTCCAGAGCATCTGGAAAGGGAGGGGGAGGGGCAGCGACAGGGGTTGGGACAGAAGCACTGGAGCCATTCCGACGAAACGGATTGTTAGAACTGAGAGAGGATGGTTGGGCCATTGTAAGGATTTGCTGAGACAATGGGATTGTGTTGAGCAGCTGCGTTGGCAAACGAGACGCGGTGATGCTGCACAGCTCTGGCTTAGCCCATGGTCAAGGGGCCCTTTGTCACAGCTCAGCTTCGCATTCCACCCAACGGAACCAGTGGATGCCACGTCGGGCAGAGTTCGACAAGCTCGGGCAGCTGGCAGCGCAGTTGTAGAATGCGTGCCCAACAGATTCGCGTCGATTGCCTGCGCGGACCAGGAACGGTTTGCTGTCACGGTGCTTCGAGCAGGAAGGAAAGGCAGTAGTCGGGGTGCGGTCGCAGTGGGTTGTTAAATTGGACGGGCGTTGTTCTCAACACAGTTCCAAGGGTTCGGTTCCCACGGGGGCAGTAAAGCAAGGCTCCAGCAGAACAACAGTCGGGCGCGCTCCGACTGGTCTTCCGGGCTGAGGCAGACAGGTACGGATGAGTCTGGTTGCGAGGGCGAGGCGATGGGCCCGTTGATAAGCTGGCGCTGAATCATGCGGCGTCGTCAGTTGGTGGGCTTCCCCCTGGTCGGTTGTTCTCGATGGGGAGGGTCTACATCCATCCCTCTTCAAGCACGGGCCATGGGAGGGGCAGCTACATACGGCCGTCTCCACATTTAATTCGACTTACACGCAGATGGTTCAGGGGCGTGTGTCGCAACCCTTTGCGCCATACACCTAAGGTACTTCTTGAGAAAACACAACGTAAAGAAACACAGAGTTGCAAAATATATTCTGTCTTCTACCCCCACAATATCGTGTCTTTTTTTAAACGTTGAAAGCCGCGATATATGCGCACGGCTTTCCTCAGGGGTATGAGAAGAGAAAGACATCCCACCAGTGGAGCGGGCGCTTCCTCCAAGGTACAATACCATCAGCAATAACTGTCACACTGAGCGAGGGCGCGAGGTATCTAACTAGATCATGGAAGACATGGGAAGAAGCGAAACCGCATCGGGATTGTCCTCCAGTTTGAAGCGAAGCCTTGGCGACTGGAAAAATAAACAGTTCCGACGCGTGACCGCGTCCAGAGCCCGACGTAATGGTGTCACAACACCACAGCTCAACCAGTCGAGATGGGAAGTCGCAAAGTCGAACAGTTAAACGCGTCATCATTCCTGCTTGGTATAATTACAGCTCCCCGATCATCTATCCTCGAACACTTTGCGAGGTGGAAAAGCCAAGCCGTCCTCTTTTCCAACGCAGGCTGTGCGCACACGCCAAAGAGCAAAACATGTCCACCCATCCTGCGCCGTTTCAGAACCGTCCAAGTGCTTGCCGCTCGCTCGCTGTATGTCTCCTCTCCTAGTTTTCAAGGTAACTGCGCTGGCAGTGACCTGAAATTGCCAGAGAGAATCCAAGAGGTATCGTAATGCAAGCAGGCGCGAAAAATGCGATGCAAAATAAAAAGGAGGCGCGCTTTTCGGCACGACTGGCTCCCCCGCCGGCCTCCTACCCACCCCAACCACCCACCAAAAATATGTTCCCATGTCATAACAACATCCCACAAAAAACCCGCAGTGCAAAAAACCAGTCCCGCGCTGGTCGTGTAGCCAATGACCCACCGATAACCCATGGTCCCCCTGAACGCCAGTACCGATTGAAAGCCGTCACAACGAAGCAAGAAAAGACATCATAAGACAGACTAGGACGTCTACCGACGTCTCTACGCCGAGGCCTCCGCCTTGTCCGCCTTCTTTGGTGTCTTCTCCTTCTTCGCGGCAGCCTTCTTGGGTGCGGCCTTCTTGGGTGCTGGCTTGGCGGCAGCCTTTGTGACGCGCCCTGACTTGGTCTTGGTGAGCGCAGCAGGCTTCTCAGCAGGCGCCTGGTTGACGTTAGAATGACCGTAAAGCGTGGTGAGTGGTGAAGCGATTAGTTGCCACGAACCTTCTTCTCCTCGGCCTTCTTCTTCGGGGCAGCCTTCTTGGCAGCCGGCGCCTTCTTTTCCTTAGGCTCCTTGGCTTCCTTCTTCTCCTTGGCCTCCTTCTTGGGGGCAGCGGCCTTCTTGGGAGCGGCGGGCTTCTTCTCCTTGGCCTCCTTCTTTGGCGCGGCTTCCTTCTTGGGAGCGACGGCCTTCTTGGGAGCAGCAGCGGGGGCAGCCTTCTTGGCCAGCTTGGTGCCACCGGAGGGGCCCTTGGGCTGCTCGAAGACACCCTTGTCGACACCCGTCTTCAACGCCTTGTTGAAGAGCGAGTCAAACATTTTGTCGCCGACATTGAGCGAGTTGTTGGCCTTGACATACTTCTTGAGCGATTGTCGGCTGCGCGATGTGTCAGCGTCTGCACAATCATCAGGTGAGAGCAAGTGCGGATGAGCGCGACCGAGAGCGTGTGAAACGCAAGCAACGGCCATGAATGTCAATAAAATAATTCTTACCTAGATCCATTGCGATCCTTGAGCTGAATTACGGAAATCCAAGTCAGTACAAATTGATCCATAAATTAGGCAACCCGTGAGGGGTCGGGTGAGCCGTAGGGGCAAGCATCACAGGCTGAGCCTCG